AATGGAAAAAGTCGCTAAAAATGGACGAAAAGTTAAGCCTATAGCCTTACTTTTTCGCTGTTTTTTTGGCCACTTATGAAAAATGGAAAAAGTCGCTAAAAATGGATGAAAAGTTAAGCCTATAGACTTACTTTTTCGCTGTTTTTTTGGCCACTTATGAAAAATGGAAAAAGTCGCTAAAAATGGATGAAAAGTTAAGCCTATAGCCTTACTTTTTCGCTGTTTTTTTGGCCACTTATGAAAAATGGAAAAAGTCGCTAAAAATGGACGAAAAGTTAAGCCTATAGCCTTACTTTTTCGCTGTTTTTTTGGCCACTTATGAAAAATGGAAAAAGTCGCTAAAAATGGACGAAAAGTTAAGCCTATATATACCCTTACTTTTTTGCTGTTTTTTGGCCACTTATGAAAAATGGAAAAAGTCGCTAAAAATGGATGAAAAGTTAAGGCTGTTTTTCTGTTTTTTGGCCACTTATGAAAAATGGAAAAAGTCGCTAAAAATGGACGAAAAGTTAAGGCTGTTTTTTGACCGCTGATAAAGAATGGAAAAAGTCGCTAAAAATGGATGAAAAGTTAAGCCTATAGCCTTACTTTTTTGCTGTTTTTTGGCCACTTATGAAAAAAGTCGCTAAAAATGGATGAAAAGTTAAGCCTATAGCCTTACTTATTTGCTGTTTTTTGGCCACTTATCAAAAATGGAAAAAGGCGCTAAAAATGGATGAAAAGTTAAGCCTATATATAGCCTTACTTTTTTGCTGTTTTTTGGCCACTTATGAAAAATGGAAAAAGTCGCTAAAAATGGATGAAAAGTTAAGCCTATAGCCTTACTTTTTTGCTGTTTTTTGGCCACTTATGAAAAAAAAAAGTCGCTAAAAATGGATGAAAAGTTAAGCCTATATATAGCCTTACTTTTTTGCTGTTTTTTGGCCACTTACGAAAAATGGAAAAAGTCGCTAAAAATGGACGAAAAGTTAAGCCTATATATAGCCTTACTTTTTTGCTGTTTTTTGGCCACTTATGAAAAATGGAAAAAATCGCTAAAAATGGACGAAAAGTTAAGCCTATAGCCTTACTTTTTTGCTGTTTTTTGGCCACTTATGAAAAATGGAAAAAGTCGCTAAAAATGGACGAAAAGTTAAGCCTATAGCCTTACTTTTTTGCTGTTTTTTTGGCCACTTATGAAAAATGGAAAAAGTCGCTAAAAATGGACGAAAAGTTAAGCCTATAGCCTTACTTTTTTGCTGTTTTTTGGCCACTTATGAAAAATGGAAAAAAGTCGCTAAAAATGGACGAAAAGTTAAGGCTGTTTTGCTGTTTTTTGACCACTTATAAAAAATGGAAAAAGTCGCTAAAAATGGACGAAAAGTTACGCCTTAGCCTTACTTTTTTGCTGTTTTTTTGGCCACTTATGAAAAATGGAAAAAGTCGCTAAAAATGGACGAAAAGTTAAGCCTATTATAGCCTTACTTTTTTGCTGTTTTTTGGCCACTTATGAAAAATGGAAAAAGTCGCTAAAAATGGACGAAAAGTTAAGCCTATAGCCTTACTTTTTTGCTGTTTTTTGGCCACTTATGAAAAATGGAAAAAGTCGCTAAAAATGGATGAAAAGTTAAGGCTGTTTTGCTGTTTTTTGACCACTTATAAAAAATGGAAAAAGTCGCTAAAAATGGATGAAGAGTTAAGCCTATTATAGCCTTACTTTTTTTGTTGTTTTTTGGCCACTTACGAAAAATGGAAAAAGTCGCTAAAAATGGACGAAAAGTTAAGCCTATAGCCATACTTTTTTGCTGTTTTTTGGCCACTTATGAAAAATGGAAAAAGTCGCTAAAAATGGACGAAAAGTTAAGCCTATAGCCTTACTTTTTTGCTGTTTTTGGCCACTTATGAAAAATGGAAAAGTCGCTAAAAATGGACGAAAAGTTAAGCCTATAGCCTTACTTTTTTGCTGTTTTTTGGCCACTTATGAAAAATGGAAAAGTCGCTAAAAATGGACGAAAAGTTAAGCCTATAGCCTTACTTTTTTGCAGTATTTTGGCCACTTATGAAAAATGGAAAAAAGTCGCTAGAAATGGACGAAAAGTTAAGCCTATAGCCTTACTTTTTTGGTGTTTTTTGGCCACTTATGAAAAATGGAAAAAGTCGCTAAAAATGGACGAAAAGTTAAGCCTATAGCCTTAATTTTTTGCTGTTTTTTGGGCACTTATGAAAAATGGAAAAAAGTCGCTAGAAATGGACGAAAAGTTAAAGGGGAAGTCAAGTCCGTTCTGCGCATCGGTTCTGCGCATAACAATAGAGGGCCCTCTGAGGCAAACATTGCCCAAATTTTGAATGTTTCGAATTTTTCTGAACACAAACTCTATTTCATATTCATGTAGAAGCATAACGAACCAAAATGGTGTTAGATATTCAGACAGTACATCATATTTTAAAAAATACAGCAGTTCAAAATGTAAACAAACCGTTTGTTTACATTACGGACTTGACTTCCCCTTTAAGCCTATAGCCTTACTTTTTTGCTATTTT